AGTTATTTAGTATTGTATTTTTGAGACAGGAAACAGCCTCATTTTTAGAATTGTGTACAATAAATCATTGTTTATTGAAAATTGAATTTTTAACTTGGATGATTTTATTAGTGGAAAATCTTGCCTTACTATTACTTTTACTTTTGATACTGAAGAGGTTACTGCTTATGTAGATGAGAGTACAGGTTTGGATTTGGTGTATTTGGATTTTCAGAAAGCATAAAAGGGTTGTTAAAACATTATTTCTATGTATGAAGGAAAAATTGGCTAGAAAAGTGGCTGTATGGAATAAAGCAGCAGGTTGTGGTCCTACTAATTGCTGCAGAGTATCACAGAGTCACACAGATACACGTGTAATAAGGCCATATATTCTCGGCCACAATTATATCATAATTTCATTTGCAGAAGCAGTCACAATGGATCATTACAATTTACAATGACGATTAAGCAATTTTATCAATTCACCATAGTATCTTTAGTTAAGTCTTTTCCTAATGTCTTATGTAACCCAGAAAGTTTATGTTTATTTCTATTACATATGTTGTATATATGTATATATATATATATAAACATTAATAGCTAGCTACCTTTTCTTATTCTGATTTTTGAAAATATTTTTATTGTGAAGTACTTCAATGTAAGGCAATAAGTATATTTGCTTAAATTATTTACATATTGTTTAGTCTTATTTAGAGTATTGTTTAAATTGTGATACTTTATGTTAGTTTGTGCTACTTTGTGATATTCAGTAGGACCCAAGAGTTGTTATATATATGGAATTCTGTCAGAATGAATTAATGTCACAAGTGGGATACCTCAGAGCTTAGTTTTAGGACTGTGGCTCTTTTTGGTTTACATCAGTGACATAGATGAAGGAATGGTAAATAGATTATTTAAATGTACTTATGATATTAAAATATTGTGTGTTAATGACTGTGAGGAGAGGATGCTACTGCTTTATAGTAGGGTTTGGATTATTTGGCAAGTTGGGCAAATAAATGAGAGATGACTTTTAATTATAGTAAATGCAAGATAATGTATGTGGGATATCATAATTTAAATTATAAGTATAATAATAAGTGTTATGGAAGAAAATGATCATATTGTTCTGGTTGATCAGTCTCCGAAGTCATCTAAACAGTGTGCTCTTGCTAGTGATAGGTCAAATAGTATTTTAGGTTTACCTATATTAACACTTTCAAGATGGTTCACGGGTGAAAGGCCAGGTCATCTCGTTTGTTAACTCGCATTCAAAATTTTATTGAACTACTATTTCATGAATTTATGTCAAGAAGTTTGGTATCAAATTTTAGTACTACATTATTCAATTTCTTAATTTAAAAGCAAATATTAAAAAACACAGATAAACATTGATTTTTGTGTGTCACATGGTATGTTGAATGCAGCACTGGTACAAATTAAATGTTTGCGAAGTCAAAATATTAAGTCTCTAGTTTTGAATGAATTGGAAACTCAAATTACCGTTATTGACAAGCTAGAATATAAAATAAGAGCCTCTTATCTTTCCAGTTTGCCAATATACTGCTCATGTAATAAATCAAACACAGTAGTACCCTGACCATCTCTTTCCATTTTTGGAAATGCTCCCTTATAAACACTTACTTCTATATATGACATGAATAACCAATTGGAAGCTCAGAATGTCCCCCTAGTGGCTTTCTCAACTATTTTAATTGGCTTAGATACCATTTCTTTCTTTTGAACCAAAAGTTCAAGGAGGTAGGGTGTGTGTCCTTAGTCTGCTCGAAATTTCATATTTTTTAGACTACATTTTAGTTACTAAGCTTGATAAGTTATAGTGGAAATCTTTGGTATTGATGTAGTAACTTATGATTTTTTTAGTTATTCAAATGTATATATAAAACCTAAAAATAATTATTTTGTTTTATTATCCTCCACGTGCAAAATATTTAAAGGCTTGGCAACCTATGTCAAGCAGCAACTGAGTACAAAGGTTGTAACTAGAAGAGATAATTGTTTGCTTTACTTCTTCATTTACTGTTCTATGTTTAAGAAAATAAGTTTAAGAATTTATTTCCAAATAGCAACAATCTATATACATATATAATAATTGAAAATGACTGTATTTTACAAAATACTAGTCTACTAAAACACAGCCAAGACAAGTTACTTTGTACAGACCAAAGGTCAGTTTTATGTTATTGGATGGGTTGCCTTGAGATTTGGTATATACAATATATTTAAAATAACCTAAGGGAAGGTTTTATAAATTTTTGAATGATAAGGTTGATTCTTTGGTGTTTTATTTTAAGGTATAAGTTAGTGGATCAGACAGCTTAAATGGACCATTAAGTCCCTTGTAGTCTTTAATTTCATGTTAGTAATTGTCACTAGTACTAGTAACATAATATTTGTAAGGTAAATAAGGATTAAGAGTTAACCTAATCTGCTAGTAATGGTAATTACAATAATTAATTTTTATATTTGCTAGTAAAATTTGTAGTTGGTATCTCTGATATCAAATGCATAATAACATATTGAATGACACTGTAAAAGGTTGTGGCATGTGTACTTTCACCCCCACTAATGCACATATGATTAAATATATTACCCTCAATAGTTAAGATTTATAACCTTTTTATTCCATCATTCAGACAATTCATAAGAAGACTGTCAAGTTTTAAACACCTGAATTAAGTTCCCTCCTTCCAGAACAAAACTAAATCAAAAGTCTCCTTATAACTTAGATGAATTAAATCAGATATCAGTCTAGAACATGCTTCTGATCTCCTTCCATGTTAATATATTCTGGTTTAGTAAAGGGACCAAATTTTCACATTAGTATCCCAAAGAAGTCTACCTTGCACTGTAACTTTTATTTGCCACTGACAAATGTTTGATTATTACTTTAAAATCTGGCAAATAACAAAAAAAAAAGGCAACTACTTTTAAAAACACCAGCATTTATTTACAACAAAATTTACAAATTATTCTGACCTAGCCTGCAAATTCATTAACATAGTGTGTGTCTCTTTTTCCCTCTCTTACAGTGTATATTTTATGAAGCTCTGCAGAGTCATTGATCAGAAAACTACCATTTGTTGAATAATTGTTTTGTATTGCCACTTTCCAGAGCTATTGACAGTCAAACATGTTTGTTGCTGTAAAATTTATCTCAGTTTGGTCACCTCTATAGCATTTGTTTAAGGTACCACTGATGACTGGCAACAATTTGTTTTTGTCATCTGTTAGATATGCTTTGGTTTTCTCATTGTTTAGTGCTTCTTCAATTGTCCCCTGGGCTTTTATCATCCTACATGAAAAAAGAAGTATGGTCTATATAAAAAAAACTTTGTGCTCTTTTCCACTACAGCTAAGCATTCAGCAGTTGTAAAGGTTTTATCATTAATTACACCAAAATCCTTTTTGTTTTCTCAACATTTAAATACTTTTCTTACACAAGAAGAAAGTACTTTTCAAATTAATGATATCATTTTTGGGTTATTTTTTCCTTATGAGATGTAATACATTGATTCATATTTAAAAAAATAATTAGCTTAAAGTTATTGATATCAATATTTTTGCTTGCAATTCATGGGAATCAAATATCTCTACATTTTTTGACTTTCATGTAATAATAACTTTCTAAATCTGTTATGATGTTAAAGTTGTCCAATAGTATCTAGAATGGCATGATCTTTACTATAAGCTTATTTCAAATCAGCTTATTTGAATTAATTTTGAGGATTAATTAACATTAGTGTAATGCTACCCTTTTTATTTCAGATATTTTATGATCAGGTAAACATAAAGCAAGTGGATGTACCATCATACAGTGGTAGCTTTGGTATTTTACCAAACCATGTTCCAGTGATAGCCATGTTAAAACCTGGTGTTGTAACTGTCTACGAACAAGATGGTTCTACTAACAAGTTTTTTGGTACAAGTTTTTTAGTATTATTCAATAAAAAAAGATGTTTGTTGTAATACTTGAAAGCTTCACTTTCAGATGCCTGAATTTTTTAATATGTAGAATTCTGTTTCACCTTTTATTATGCTGAAACTCAAAACGTAAATTCCATGTTTCCAAACACATTTTTGAAAAGCGACATGAAATGTGGTAAATCATTATTATTCATGAATTTAGTTTGAAAGTATTTCACATGTGCTACCTGTTAGTGTTGTAGAGCTGTTAAAAATGAGTATTATTTAACATAGATGTAGCTTATAGTTTTATATGTCTCAGCTATTTCAAATGTAAATTATGTTTATATACTGGTATTTTATCAGACATTTTATCATTGTTAAAAACAGGAATTTTTATAGCTTGTTTATTGTAATGAATGGTTGACAAAATATGGTCCCCACTTGAAAACAAATGATACTATAGATGATATTGTAGTAATTATGATCAGTTCCTGATAAGTTGATACCTATACATTGGATCTAACATCAAAAACAATTGTAGTGGTCTAAATCCTATCTGCTGCTTGTAACAAATCAGCATACTGGGGAGAATGGGCTGTAAAGATTCCCTGTGTTAAGAAGACCTCTAGCTTCAAGCCTGTAGACCACAAGCTCTTTACTCAACATCTTTTGGAAGTCTCAAAGCTTACTTATAATTATAATATACTGTTACTAAATCTAATTCTAAAACAAATAACATAATATTTAATGTGGCACAAAAGCAGAAACACTGATTTTTTTTTACAAAATTTGAAAAAATGTAACTCATATTTTAGAATTTGAAGTTTATATAATTAGAAAAAATTGCACAAAAATTAGCAATAAAAGTTTTTAATCAAAATATGGATATTTTCAAATCTAAATATCTTCCTTAAAGTAAAATACAAATGTGTTTTTAGTGATATCACAAAGAAATAACTACCTAATTTTAAGAGTAATCCCAATGAATACTGGTATTTAATTTTCCCTTTAATGCCTTATATCCAGTTAAATATATTAGTATTACTGTAGTAGTTAATTAAAACCTTCATTAATATATGCTTTATAGTTTGTGACTGTTTTAATGTTGTGATTGCTGCAGAAACTATTACTTAGCAATGGTTATTAAACTCTATTGAGATTCCCCTTGGATGAGTAAAACCTATCAAGTAAAATCCACCAATTAAAGAAAATGGTAAACTGAGATTGTTGTTATTTAATGTGCATAATATCTTATGCTTTCAGTAAGTAGCGGCTCTGTAACAATTAATGAAGACTCTTCTGTTCAAGTCTTGGCTGAAGAAGCTGTCCCAGTTGAAAACCTTGATCAACAGGTGTGTGCTACTAAATGTAACAGGGATAATGAAGCACCATGGCTTACATTTTTGGAAAATTCTTAAGCTAAAATATGCTATTATTTCAAATAGATTTGTTGTATTCTAAAACTTGATTTCAATGAAAATAGCTAAAGTCACATATTTGAAATTCTATTATAGCTATTTCTAAGTTATCTATGAAAAACTATAGTAAAAGTAATAAGAAATTGGAAAACAAAATTAAAACTAAATCACATTTCAGTATAATCTAAGTAAACATCCTGTAATTTAAGTTCACCTAAGCTATCATGTTTTCTAATTTTTTTGCTAACTTGGGTGTAGCATTTGAAACTTTTAGTTTACTTAGTGTTTTGGTATACACCAAAAATTCAGAATATTCAGCCATTGACTTATTTAACATGTACGTAAATTATTAAATGTTATTACAGATTATCTTGTGTTAAGTGAGCTTTGGTGATATATTTGGTAATGTCTGATATAATTTGAGGTAATATAATTTAACAGCAACTATTTTATTCTAATGGAAGTTAATTTGAACTCATTTACATATTATCTCAGGCATGTAGGGAAGGGCTCCACAAGGCCCAGCAAGATCTTGGATCTGCAACTACTGACGAGGCCAGAGCAGAAGCTCAGATTGCTGTAGAGGTCCATGAAGCACTGGTCAAAGCAGTTGAATAAAATGTGTTAATTATGAAAATAGTTATACTTTTAAAACAATAACAAAAAATTGTGAGAATAGATTAAGTAATAAAATTCTTTTCTCTATAGACACTCAAAAAGAACTAGTTTGGAGTTGCACTCCAGGTCATGTAGTGTTGTCTATTAAAAATACATTGATTCTTTTGTTTAGTCATATTGTAAAAAAAATCAATAATGATATTAGATAACTTTTTTTAGTAATTTTTGGCACCCTGTATCAAGACCCCATCATACTAGAAATGTAGCAAGATGAACTTGTTCAATGTGAATGGTTTAATGTAATAGCATTATATATAATTTGAATTGATAACATAAATCTTGAATTAATGCTTTTCATGCTGTGAACACATTTTTGGTATAAAGTGCACATCTGCTTATCCAATTTCTAGTAAAAATAAATTGAGATTTTATAACATTTATTTAACTTCCGAAAAAAATTAAGAAAACAATGTTCAAACTTAGATATCTGTAAAGCTCCAAGGAATTTCATCCATAAACAATGCATTTATGAATTCTTTTCCAAGTTTTCTGTCCATTCCAAAGCATAGGTATATTTGCTAAGAAACTAACAATCCCTTAAAAATATAATTACCCTTGCCCTTCAAAGTATGGGACAGTCTAAATCACTTTGAAGCATTTTTTATAATGGGGAGATAGAGCATTTTCACAGTTTTCAGTTAACAACTCTGTGAAGTGTGATTGGATTTCTACCAAATTTCATGGGCACATTAAAGAATGAGACTTGTCATCACACTACCAAAAAGATGTTCTGGATCACTGATCATTCTAGATCTGAGGAGGATTTTGGGAATTTTCAAAGGTGAAATTTTAAGTTATTCAGTATAACTGTATGTAATCTCAAAAATGGATTGGCAGAGCAAAATTATGCAATCTCTCTGATTGTTCTTATTATCAATGTTTTGTTTCCTTTGCTTTGTTTCTTCAGGAGTTTCATTTGACCACGTCGATTGTTTTCCCTCCGATTCAGTTATAATAATTTTTGGCATCCATCTAGTTTTTTTTTTTCCAAAATTTTAGTTTAGAACTTATTTTATAGATGGTGTTAAAACTGTTCATTTGAAATGAAAACCTGAGGTGGTTTGATGCTGTGAACATGCCATTTTTGAATTTCAATGTTAACCAAAATCTCAAATCCCTGATTTAATCTATAATGGTATTGAAAGAACTTGCTGTATAAAATCCAAAAACAACAAAATCCAATTTCACTTGGATTTGAATGTGAGACTTCCACATAAGAGTCAAGTGCTGTAAGCACAGAGCTACTTTGACATCCAGTGTTTGAAATCCAATATTAATAAATACTAATTTAAAATATGGTATTCATACTTTTACAAATAATGAAAGAGAGCTTGCTCTAAACTTGGTCACTTATTTAACAAAAAAAAGATTACAAGAATCCCAACTGTACTGGTATTTGAATGAGATACTTCTGCTTGAGGTTTGGGCACTGTAACTACTGAGGCAACTCAAGTTTTACCAACAGACAGTGGCTTTTATATATAGATAGATTGTTAAATTTTTGTATTCAAACAACACACACACAAATTATTGAAAATAAGGTAAATTTCTACATTTCATATAAAATGTTATTACATTGTATGACCTATTGCCATTTGTAGTTGGAAGTGGTAACGACTGCAATTGCTAAAATAAAGTGTCATATCGACATGTTAGTGATTATCAATGAAGTTCAAGCTGACTGGATATATATAAAATAGCTTTTTTATCAATATCAATGAAAAAATAAGACAACAGTTTTGAGTTTGTTTTAAAAAAAATTCAAATTTTATTAATTTCACAACATAAATGAGAGGAATGCTAATCATACAAATTAAAAAATATAGAAACTATTGAGTAAGTTTGTGCTAAGTTTCTTGCAATTTGGAAAAAAATCAAAAGATGTTGGTGACACCCCTCTAGACTGGAAAAAGAGTTATATTAATGAAAATTTGCTCTTAATAAGTAAAGATCATAAATACTGAAAGTTTGGTTAAATAATCTGTACTGGTAGAACAAAAAATGAAATACAAAATCAAGAAGCAATAAAAGAATTTTATTTCTTTTCAAACAAAATTGTAATAGAATTACTTACAATAAGGTACTCATAACTGTACAAATTTACATTGGATTTATTGGTTATCCTTTAACCTGTAGTTAAAATCACTGAGTGTACATAATAAACAATTATTTAAGGAACAGATTCCTTAACTAGATAAAATATCACCATAGATTAAGTAGCTATCTACATATACTCATCGATAATCGAATTCTTTGATTAATTAAACATATAACAATCGGTATACGTAATTTTAATACATAAACTTCTTTTTAGTGAAAGAAAGACCAGCTTAATCTTAATTCCTTAAATCTTGCTGGTTCACAATTAAAGCACACATTATAAATGAAATTTTTGTTAAAAATAAAATGTGACTGTATATTAGCTTTTAATAATAAAAAAAAATCAGTGTACAAGTAACAAAACACGAATTTTAATATTGAATGATGAAACTGTATAATCTTTCACCCCTATGTTTTAAATATTTGGAGAAAAGCAGCACATCCCATTAATTCTCCAATTCTTGTTTTGATATACACACATAGATGGGCTCTATGCATTAGTTTTTATTTCATTTTCACAAACTATGTATTTTTTCTTTGAAGTATTCAGTTTTGAGACAGTTGGGTACTTTAGTTTGATGTATTTTTTATGCAAACGAATGTTTTCTCACTTGTGGTCAACTGTTGTCTTAACTGTAGTTTGTTAAGCTTATACAGACTGGATATACTTGAAAATTTATGATTCATCATTTGCCTTACTAATATAGTTTGAAACATGAACTTTTGCCATTAATTGTACTTGAACACAATTAAAACAACTTATTTTAGACTAAGGAAGTTTTATAAATATAACAACTACATTATTGCTATGCTTTACTTTCACTGGATGTAGGCAGGACAGGGAGAGAAAATGAAGCTAGAACCAATTCAGCTTCTTCAAAAACCTGTTGTACAAAAATCCATTACAAAAGTTAATGCATTATATAAGGTTAAAAACAAAGCAAGCAAGTACACAGAGCTCTACCGATCCTTGAAAAACATATTTAGAAATTTCTGATGTTTTTACAATATTTAAAAAATACACTAGTTTATGACAGTACTAAATTAATTACTGAAGAGAACAGAAATGTCATTTTTAAAAAAATGTATTTATATAACCAAATTTACATTTATCACTGTGAATTGTGGCAAGCGTTTAGTAAAATCTACAAGTCTGCTGCTCACAAAAAATGAGATGTGTGTATTTGTCCACGTCTATGAATTAATGATGTTAGTCTGAGTCAGAGTGCAAGATGATGTTCATGTCAATATTAAAATACTGTTGCTCACTGTACAGTATGCATATTATATTTGCATAACTTCTAAAACCTTTAAAATGTATATTTACAGTTTTTCAGTATTCTTCTGTATTGTAACTGGTATTTATTCTCCTCTACCATGAACTATTACTAAATCAGCAATGTAGGGTAAAATATATAGTTGATGGATAACTCTGACGTCAAATACATAACACCATGTTGAATGGCACTTTGACCCCCCATTCTTGCATATAGGGTTAAGGTGTGGATTTGTTTTTTATTTAATGGTCTAATAAGAAACATTTACAAGTTCCTAGCAGTAGGGAAAACTGATATATCTAATAAGAGACTCTACAGCCATAATAAAGTTATTAAATCTGCACTAAAGAAATAGCAACAAAAACTTGTCAGAATTTCTTTACCTCATAAAAACATTGTTAGTCAATCCTATCAGCCACAGTACGTGAAAAGTTGACTAAAACGTTTTCTTGCAGAACTCCAAAAATTTTTATGCATGTTTCTAAGATACTGTATTTTATACATGAGACAATGTTTTTGGAATCAAGATAGTTTATCAATAAATTCTTAACAAATATTAAAACATTCGATTTTATAACTTTTTTTCTTCATAAAAATAAAATTTATGTTTATAATTTCTTGTAAATTTGATTATGATACTTAAACTTTAGATCTTCCCGTACTGGAAGAAATCCTTATATTCCAAAGTAAAAGATGTGTTTTCAACCTCACACTTTGAGTATGCTATACATTATTTTTTATGAAATGGGTATTGTACTGGGTAACATCCACATGAAACACATCGTTATCAAACCCTGTTTGCAAGTAATGTAATGGTACAAATATCAAGACTGAGTAATTAGCTTCTGGCCTTTCATATCATATGCAAAAAATGGCAGCTCTGGTGCAACATGATTGATTCATCACACATCCTTCAACAATTTCCCAGATCAGTTACAGGTGTTTAGAATTTCTTATTATGTATGCTAGTCTTTTACTATTACCTGATACTTTATTAGTGTCACACTATGAATTATTTATGTTTTCTTAAACAAGTATGCAAAATATTAGGCTTAGCCCTTGGATGATATGAATTAGACTAAGTTTGCTATAAGTAGGTAAATCAATATTGAAGCAGTTTTCGTGGTTTTTGAAGCTAATTTGTTATTTAAACAGGCAGAGTGAAATATTAAAATAAAAATTTTATGTACATCAAATACGTTTAAAATGTACATGAAAATGACTTACTGATTTCTACGATTCAAGTTTATTCCAGTATACCAATAATTTTTGTAAAAACACAATAATTATGCTATTCTAACAAAAACATACAGAAAATTTACTGGTTTATCTGAACAAAACTTGTATGAACTTAGGTTTTGGAAACATAGCAAAATAAAAAAAAAGTATTTTACATATAAAACACTTTATTTGCTTTTTACATTCATTTTTTATTCATAGTATCTTAGAACTATTTGGAAAATGTGTACTAAGTTTAATGCTAGTAAAAATAAGTAATTTTAGAGAAACATTTTATGAGAGGCATTATAAAGTTACTGATATGGCTAAGAATCTGTAAAGAATTTATCAAAATATGTTTAAAACATTCTTTATAACGATATATCAATACAAGTAATTCACAAAATTATTTTTTAAATAAATCTAATGATAACTTCTCTGTTAGTATTTGTATCTAACTCAACATGATTTACATTATGGTAAAAAAATGAAGACCTCCATATACCTGTTCAAATTTCATGTCAAAGAACAGTTCCTGAAGGAACCTTCGTGCTGTGAGCCGGAAGTTGTATCGAGCCATTTGAAGACAAATCTCAGAGTACAAACATACGTCTTGGAATGTGTTTGGATATTTCTGTTTCAAACTAGAAAATAAAAAAATGAATAGGTAGATGTTTCTATTCACAAGTATCAAGATGTTAATAAAAATCCAGTAACACCTACATGAAAAAAACCTTTATACCTTTTCAACAATTTATAAAATATGTATAAGTTCTGACTCAAATTTTATGTGTTTGATACTTGTAAGTATAACTGAGAAAATACTATCACTGAAGTAACAAACATCTGAGCATACATGTACAAATGAAAACAAACTGTCTAGTTTGTTTATTAGTTTATTCAAAAATACAACAGCTTCAATGAGCACGAAATCATATATACACCTGGAAAAAAGTTAAGCACCCCCGTGTTTTTTCAAGTGATTCAGATTCGACGTTCTTGTGACTGATTATAAATTACCATTCAATCTAAAC